ACATGATCCACAAAGATGGAATATATATATACATATAAGAGAACCCTAGACCCGCCTACGTGGCGCCACCACAAACAAGGATTTCCTTTAAATTTATTTATTATAAAAACTAGGCTTTCCCATTCATGAAAAGTTGTGATTTTATGAAAAGTTGTGACTTTTATGAAAATTGTGACTTTATGAAAAGTTGAGACTTTTATAAAATATTGCAACTCTTAGGAAGAGTTATGCCTTTTACGAAAAGTTGCGACTTTTATGAAAAGTTTTGAATTTTATATAAGGTTGTCACCCTTCAGAAGGGTTGTAACTTTTCTAAAGAGTTGTGATCTACAGTTTGTTTAGTATAAATAGAGGGATTTTCTGCCACTATCATTTGTATTTTTTTTCGTTATAGGGTAGTCGAATTCAAATACATTCATTTTGTTTCTTATGAAGTTTGTTTCATGGCCATTTATACTTATTTATATATATTAAGGGAAAAGGATCTGATATACCCCTCAACTTTGTCATTTAGAACTGATATACCCCTTGTTAGGAAAGTGGCTCATATATACCATTTTGCTCTAACGAAAATGAAAAAAAAATTAATCTAAATTTTTATTATTTTTTTCTAAAAAAATAAAATCTCATATGAGTAAATTTAATCCTCATCAAACATATTTTTTTGACTTTTTTTTGTTTCAATGACTAATTTATAATTATTATTTTGATAATCAAATTTATTTATGTTTCACTAATATTCTTGTAAAACTTATTGTAGATGACCAAATTTTTTCTTCGAATACGAAATTAAATTACTATACACACAAAAAAAATAGTTTAATTTTTAATTTTTTAAACTAAGAAATGAAAGAAAACAACAAAATAAGAATAAGAAATTCAAATAATTACAATAAAAGAAGTCAAAAAATAATTTATGTATGAAAAAAATTAAAATATACCTTGAACTTTGATAGAAGAATCATATATACCCCTTAATAATTTTTTTAAAAAAATTATAAGTAATAAATATAAATTTAAAACTAATTTTTTAACTTCCGTTAAATGAAGGGTATATGTGAGCCATTTTGTAACGGCAGGGGTATATGTGAGCCGTTTGTATAACGGTAAGGGCATATATGAGCTACTTTTATAACGAGGGTATATCAGCTCCAAATGATAAAGTTGAGGGGTATATCAGACCCTTTGATCTATTCCAAATAATATAATTGTGTCTATCATTTTATTATTCTTTTAGGAAAATGATTAAGAAAATGCAGTAGAGAACAATGATCTATTTGGAAAGGTTAAGAAATAAAATTTTGGTTTTTTTTAAAAAGTTATAGTCATTAACATGGAATAAATGTGCAACCCATGTGTTTATAAACTAGTATATATATATATATATATATATATATATATATATATATAATTCGAGCTAAAAGTAACAATTTTAGTTGAATACGCAAAGACACCTTAAATCCATCTCCAATGAGGAAAGGAGAGATCTTTGATGTCGCTAAGCTGCGGCACAAACTTGCCTCATGTTAGAAAAAAGATTTTTAATACCGCTACAAAATATTTTGAACAGTTATTTCATATGTCAAGATTAATTAGGATCCGTTTGGTAGGCGGTATTAGGTAGAATAATTCATGGATTAAAATTTAATCCAATTAGTACATTGTTTGGTTACTTTATTTAATTCAATCCATGGATTGCTTATCCATCATACGTGGTAGTATCTTATACCTTGGAAATGAAGGGATAACTTATCCAAGGTTTGTTAAACCTTGGATAAGATCCTTAAATGACTAAACTAACCCTTTATTCTTTTTTTTTAAATTTCTTTTGTAATTTAATTTCCTTTTTATTTATATTAGAGTGGTTATAAATATTCTTTCTTAATACTTCAAATTCGTTTGGTGTAATTTAATGATTTTACTAATATTTTTTTCTCTATTTTTTCTTGATTTTTTTTTATATTCAAGATAATTTATTAACTACCCACTTGAACTATTGTTTTAAAAATAATAAAAATAAAAATAAAATAAGCTTGTGTTAACAATTTAAGTAGTCTTAAATCTATGTTAAATTTAAGATATATACTTAACTCACAAAAAATTAGAAATACATTGTGCTATCAATGTGTGCTCGGAAAATCCTAATTGGAAAGTTTGAAAGACTCTCCAACCGGGACTGATAATCCCGGATGATGCAAAAAAGAAAAGGTTCTTAGTGGTATATCATACCTTAAAATTAATAACAATTTTATATATATGTATTTGATTTAACTAATTAAATGGAATAAATCATTCTTTAAAAAAATTATCCAATTTCGGTGGTTATCTACATTGACCCAATTACATGAAATAAACACTCATAATAACAGAAGGTATAATAGGAAAGGATCTTTTTGTAGAATTATAAATTAAACACAAAATTAAGTGAAAAGTAGTGAACCAAACACTTGACAAAAAATAATTCCTACATTACTAATCCCCGCATTACTAATCCATGCATGACTAATCTCTGCACTATCAATGTTTGTATCAAACGACCCTTAATGTAACTCTTTTTTTGGCTCGTCCGTCATCCTTCTTCACTTAAACATCAGACTTCGTTTATAATAAGATTCAAACATGTGACATCCTTCACTTAAACAATAAACTCGGTTACAATAAGAATCAAATTCCGTGATGTGTGTCTACCACACATCCCGCATTGCGGTACCTTTGACACTGACCCACAGACCTGATTGCTACTTCAAGCTCAGTACCGAAAGAGGGACCAAAGTCCCTGGTCACGGAATCAACAATCAATACATTAAATTACAAGATGAATTTCACTATATAGGGCAAATTCAAGTCTGATAATTTCCTTTTTTTTTCAAGTAATCATATATTATTATAAGTGGGAAGATTTTAAGTTCAAAGTTGAATTACGAAAATGCCCTTTATTTATTTTTTTAATTAAAATCTATCAAAGTTAAAATCAATAATTACAATGGTTAGATGTTACAACTTATCATTTTCTACTCCTTAATGACTTAAATTGTTATTTTTTTATTATATTAGATAATTATTCCATCAAATAAACCCAAAAACCGCTAATATCTTCAGATTGACAAAACTCAACTTCTTGTAGTCAAGCCATACAATGGGCTCGTTTGGCCATAAATTTTCCAAATAATATTTGGGAAAAATTTGGCAAATAATGTTTGTCCATACAATTTGCCATTATTCGGCAAATATTTTTGGCAAATATCCCAAATTTCCAAATACTAGTTTTTTCTAGTATTTGGGCCAAATCTCATTATTTGGGATATTTTAAAAATTAAAATTTTACCCCAATCTTTTATCTTTTACAAAAACACCCTCTCTAGTAGTTGTTTGCGTTGTATTACATCATTGTTTACGTGAACATCAAAATAGTGATGAAATATGTAGTGAATATCAAATAATGATATGATTGTTGATGAAAATTATTAAAAATTGGCTTTAGGTAACAAAGTCATGTACTTTGTCTACTTCACGATGTATGAAATAATTCTTGTTGCACTCACTCCAAATTACCACATTGCTTTAGTGTCATGGACATTATTTGTTATTGTTGTAACGAACATTCATTGACTTGTAATACAAACTTTTAGTTAATTTTGATAGTTTTTAAAACTTGTGTGTATAAATCATATTTTTCTAAAAAGGTAAAATATATTTCCCAAATTTTATGGCCAAACACATGGTGAAATTTCACCCAAATTTTCACTCAAATAATATTTGCCAAGAATATTTGGAAATCTATGGGCAAACGCTAGCAATGTTTTTTTTTTCATTGTGAGCAACTAAATAGTTGAAAGGGAGGGGGGGGGGGGGGGCAATAGCTAAAAAAAGTGAAAAAGGAAAGTGACATAATAATTTAAAAAATTTTGTTAAATCACATTTAAATTGCACGTAATTATCTTTTTATTAATTATTGTGCTAATAAATGAAAAATAATGGAGCGTTATAATAACTTATAAATATCCAATGAAGAGTCCAAAGGAGGAGTTAATACCAACCGTTAAGATTTAATCATCTCTTGCCTACCACGAAATTTCGTATAAATATGCATATATTTATTGAGATTAATTTTTTTTGTTCTTCCCTAATTGATTTATGTTATTATTATTCATTTCAGATTGAATCAGTTCTCAAATTGAAACAACAAATATCATTTTCACCAAACTTTTTCTTTCTTCATTTATTTATTATGATTATTTAATTTACTTTAAATATCCACATTCATGAATTATATATAATTACCTATCAATTAATTTCTTGATATTACATGCTTTTTATAATCATAACCTCCAAATCTTTAATTTGAAACTTAATAATATCTTTCGGATTTTCTGCATTTTTATCTATATAAACTCATTTTTTTTTGTTTTATGAGACCCCCACCAAAATTATGCTTTGTCATTATATTATCAAACTAGAGAAGCACTTATATTTAATTTTGTAATATTTGATTCATTCTTCAGTCTTACTCAATGAAGAAGACTCTACAATTTTGATTGGTTATGAAAGTCACAAGCAAAAATTTCAAAAAAATATGTATTGATTTTGTATATTGTTATACCTCTATATTGTTATGATTAAAGTTTAAAAAAGGATGTGTATGTTGTATACTTTTCCTTCTCTATTCATTTTCTGTGTTTTCCCTATATATATTAGACTTTTTTAATTTGAAATTTTTTATTTTCGTAAGTCTGTACTTTTTTGAGGCTCTGTTAGCCATTTGTGACATAATTAAAAATTTGCTAACTACTAAACAAAGTTCAAAGTTTGTAAATGTTGTTTTTGTCGCCCTTTTTATTTTATTTTATTTTTTTTGTAATTGTTGTTTTATTACTAATGATATATACTTAATCGTTGTAATGGACACACATGCAACGCACGTACTCAGAAACTAGTTTATAAAATAAGGAAAGAAAATGAACTAAAAACTCCAACTAGTAAAAGACTGGAACACACCCGAATATTATATCAGACAAACAAGGTACTCACTAATAAAATCATAAAGAAGTTAAGACTACAATCGACTCAACAAGAAAACGCAGGGAGACTGAGAAATCAGCACAACTACCATGTGATTGAATCTATAAGAAAGGAACATATAATGCTCAAACATGGTAAATCGGAAAATAAATGGTCGGAATAACAGAAAACAGCTTGCTAAACCAAATCTATCACACTATGAGGATATGTGATTTCAGCAAACAAAGATATCTAACATAACTAAACCTTCCAGTACATGTTGGAAAATCAAGTCCTTATTGAATTTGAATTTTCCAGAAGAGAAGGGGAGTCCGGCACCTCAAGCTTCATTCTTCAGAAGTCGCTCCACATATGCCTGTCAAGAGAATAACGAACCATATTTACAAAAAATAACATTTTAAGCCCAATGTGAGAAAAAACAGAATATGGTAATACAGATAGGAAGGTCTAATAAAACTTCATTTTTTGGAGGAATGGAGGGTTTGATAGGCAACTCACCTGTACAAGTTTGGTAATTTTAGGCTTTGAATGGGACAGATATTGCTCTATCTTCTCTTGCGTCTTAGGGACTTGTTCTCCTTGAATCGCACCAGTCACCTTATCAACCACCTTCTTAACAATTGTTTTATGAACTTCTCTGCTCATCTTACCTTCTTTCCAAATGGGTTTTAGGATCTCCTTGACGAACTCTATTAGAGCGTTTTTGAATAATCGCATCACCTTTTCATCTTTGTTACCGCTTCCCTCCTCAACCTTTCCATGCAGATTCATAGTTCCTGGATGATCATTTTCTTGCACATCCTTGGACTCCCCCGGAGCTAATTTATCCTTTCCATCAACTTCAACTAATTCATTCTCCTGCTGCTTCACTTCATCAATTTGATCATTATTTCCAAGTTCAGGATCAACAGTAGATGTTTGATTCACTTGGTCCATGGGAACCTTAATACTATCTCTATCCAAATAGAATGAATTGTCCGGGGGCAACTTAAAGTTGCCAGATGTATTCAGCTCTAAGCCATCTGGAGGATGATAGTTATCTAGAACCCTCATCTCAGGATTGGTCTGACCATATAGAGCATGAACAAGTGAAGAAATGGGATTTGAAGGTAGCATTCCAGAAGGACCAGAGGGATTTAAGACACTTTGTAGTTGGGCTTCTTGCAGTCCTTCCTCTAATTTCTTTATCATAGATGCTGGACAGGATTCCATTTGATGTACTTGCTCACCAATGTCATCCAAGGGCCTAATTTCATGATTTCTTGATGTGGCATCGTGAGAGAATTCACAATTATCCTTGTAGCACTTTCCTGCAGCAAAGTACTCACAAAGTGATTTCCCGGTTCTGGTTGCTTGATTGTCCTGACCATGCTCAAAGGATGTACTCCGAGTGCCCTTGTCATAGTAATCACCTGAGGCACCATCATGAGAAAATCTGCATGATGCACCCCAGCGACAGTTGCTTTTCACAAAATTCCTGCAAGTAATTGTACCTCTACTCCGATTTCTGTTCAGCTCATCCTCCAAATGATGCATATCAGGAAGCATGTCCCTTGATTGGTACCCAGGACCTTCACTATCATTATACCTTGAGATATGCCCACGCTCAGGTCGACTACCCAATCTTTCTGACAAGTTGTCCTCTGAATGACCTTCATCCCTATGACTGGCAGAATCTAGATGAATGAACCTGCAATCACTGCCTCTCCTACAATTCCCCGCTGCAAAATTTCTGCATACCTGGGAAGATATATGAAGGCTAGCTCTTCTATCACCTGATGCATATGGATCACGTTTAGTATTATGAGGACTACGACTCCTATTCTGAACTCTCATACTACCCCTGTCCCGGCTCCTGCTTCTGCTCCTGGTCCTAAACTTGTCCCGTCCCCTGCTGCGACTCCTGCTCCTACCTTCTCCCCTTCCCCGTCCCCTGCTGCGACTCCTGCTCCTACCTTCTCCCCTTCCCCGGCTCCTGCTCCTGGCTCTGCCGACGTATCTATCAAATGAGAAACAAACAAACCACAACATATTAGTAGAAGTATGATCAACCATGTCTTCTAGCCCAATACCCTCTTCCCTTCCCCCTCAACCCAAAGGGGAGATCAGGTAAAAGGGAGAGAGCACCAAACACGAATGATGGAAAATCAAATGAACTTGTACACACTTCGGAGCAAGTAAAACTGAAATATAAAAGAAGGTAAAGTAGTGACGTCCCGCCAGCTAGAGCTTCTTTCTTTGCAAATTTTGATACATGAAATGCATCTCAAACCCAAGTAACAACCTTACTTGAGAGCTAATACCTTTTACAAATAAGGAATCAATTATCTTTTGATAATGATGAGTATGATGCATCATTAAACCAAATATTGTGAGCAGACCTGTGAGACTGGGCCCGACCATTATCTGGAGAGTGGCTATTGCTTCGCCTTTCCCGCCTTTCAAAAGCTGGAGACATGCTCTTGTAATGATAGTTATCCTTCCTCAAATCTTCAGTTCCTGTAACATTGTCCCCAGACGACCAACCTGATCTACTTTTGGACTGCCATGAATTTTCAGGTTTTGGAGGTCCCCACTCCTCATATTTCGGTGGACTCTCTTCTTCAGCATCCCACAAAGACTTTCGCTTTTTTGCATTTTCACCCATAGTGGCCCTTGATAGAAAATATCAGCAATATTTATGTTCTTTCATGAAGCATATTTGGAGACCTGAAAAGTATAGACATGATTTTACTATTTCAGTGGATCAAGCAGCCTCAAAGCAGTAACAAAAAAGATTCTATCATGCGCCCTTTCTGGATTACTTCCATAGAAGATTGATTATCGTAATTCAAAAAAATGGAATAACAACAAAATAAAATACAAGTTCCAGATAAGAGTGAATGTTTGACCACTAAACTTAAAATATGCAGAATATGTGTTGTAGAAATATGAAACTCAAGATGAATATGCAAGTAGCATACATAAATGAGAAAACGAGAGAAGATCCCATGAAATAGTGTCATGTCCCTATGTAAAGTTCCAAATACACTTGTCAATAGGTGCGGTAATATAATATGCTAAAGGGGACAATAGAGCTATGATCTCTTGCAAATCAACAATAGAAAAAGAAGAAAAAAATGTTACATGAAGGCAATATCAATTAGTCAAAATTAAGATGTTATTACACATACATTGGATTTAATGATTGTCAGGTGTTTTTACTTTTGTTAGAGAGCTTTATGTTGGTGTTACAAGTGTCAATGTACAGATCCTCAAGTTTAATTTTATATCGATTATTGAGTACTACAATCAAATGGGCCCTAATAGAACGTGATTGATATAAAGGATTCGTACAACTGATATATCCTCTAAAGCTGGTATTAATAAATTGATTGATTTATTGGGAAAAAACAAACATGTAGAGGAGAGAGTAACGGAACGACACACTGACAGAGTCAATCTGATGCAGTAGTGACCTCTTGATTGATCTCTCAGCCAAGACAAGTCTATGCTAAGAATCAGAAATTGCACTCAAGAGTAGGTAGGTCATAATATTTTTGAGTCTAGTTGCTAGAAGTATTAGTTTTCTTTAATACTAGGCAGAAATGGCTCGTGCTACATTGACATATTTTTACGAGCTAAATATGAGCATATATATATATATATATATAAACATCGGCTTTTCACATATTGTACTTGTCTTTTTGTGCCACCAAAGAATCCTATCAATCTTACCTGCATTAGCATAAAGAAACAGGAAGATGTTGTATGTTTTAGTGTTAGGAAATATTCCTCCCTACTCCATCTTGTTCTCCAAAACTTTCACCTTTTTCAGGAAGCCATGACTTACAGAAACAAAAATCATAGTATTAAATGTTACAGTGTCCAAAATCAGATTTTCAACATCTCATTAAACACATTTGCAGGCCTTCCATACAAATTAATCAGACTATTATAAGTGGCAGTCATTCGAGGTCTCCTAACTGTTTTCTCAATTTCTGAAACTCTAGACCTGAAAAACTCTGTCAACAAAAACTGCTTCAACAGAAAATTTCAGAGTCATCCAACTCAAAAATCAAAATCATCCAACTCAATCTTCCAATACACCAATCCTTATAGAACCTATCTGCTCTTATTATATTCACCTACATCCTTTAAAACTTATAACAATTGTATTCATTGTAGCCTAAACCTTGGGATTTAAATAGCAAGAACGCAGATTAAAGTAAGTTCAGTAATTGGTGAAATTGAAAGTTTAGGTATGTATATAGAAGAACTCTCTTCATGTTATTGTGAGAATGTACATGAATGCAAGGTTGATCATTCATGCAAATATGATTTTTAAGAAGTGTCAACTATACACAAATAAAATGAACATCATCAAAGTAGGATGCTCAACCTTGGTGATCGAAAGCTCATCGATTATGGAACAATGACATTATTCAAGCAGTGAGCAACAACGTAGTCATTACCACATTATTTCATTCCAACATGCATTTGTAGGTTGACCAAAGGAAAACAAACCAGACAACCAAGAATTTCATTCTTCATAGGAATGATCTTACAGGTAAACCACTACTATATCCCTATAGGACTTACCATTCATTAATGAAGTTAGTTGAAGTCGTCAATTTATGTAGAAATCAAAGTTGATATTTCAAACTCACTAATATGAATTTTCAGTAGTGTCTCTAAGAGAAGGTACTTGTAACCTCCTATTTTGTTTAAATTTCCCCAAACACGTCCACTTCAGATCAAGAACCAGCTGAACATAGTTGTTGAAAGCAAAAAGCCCAAAAGAAATTCATACAAGTACCCGGTATCAAGTAACAATCAATGAATCAATAATTCAGCTTGCCTTCAATCCCACTAGTTGGATCAGCGGTATGAAATCACTTAGGTATGTCTAGGTCTATATAATTCTAATAAAGGAATTAAGTACTATTAATAAGACAGAATTATCGACTTTTATGTTGATTGCTATTCTTTAGTTGTGTGTTTATTATTCCTTAACTTTTTGGTTGGTAGGGAATTGATGGCTAGTGATGGTGATGCGCTTGGCAGCAGGGATGACATGTAAATGTTGCAGATCATACAGAGCAAACAACATTGGACTGGAGTGTTGTTCGAGGAGTAGTGCAAGTTGCTGAGCTCTTACTACAAGAGGGTGGTCGTCTAAATGCAGCTAATATGGATGGTTATCAGGTACGATTTTTCTAGTATGCTTTTAGTAGACATTGCATTACTTGAAACACTTTAATAATTCATTTGGTGCTAAAATTTCTGAAGCTGAATCTGTCCAGTCTCCATGGTATTCTAGATACCCATCTAGCGCCTCATGAGCTGATCTCATTATCAAATTGGTGCATATGTGATTTGGATTTTGCTACACCACATAGGTGATGAGGGTGCAAGGGAATTGTAATCTTGCCTGATGTTATAAAAAGTGCAAAATTTTCTTGTTTCTAGCAATGTAATAGACATGTTATATTTTAATATTCCCATAAGAATGTAATATGCACTTGTAGTTAGATACAATGTAATGAATTGTACCCTCAACTAATAACTAAAATGACAAAAAATGTACAATAAAGGAGACAATAAGATAATATTTGAGAACTTCACAAAATTTGGAGTGTAAAAAATAACAATTCAGTTCACCAAATGCCAATTTCATAATCTCAAAGTGACAAGAAATTAACTTAAAAAGTGATCCTTAATTCTTGATCTCACTCTTCCACTCGAGTATTAGCATACCATTATCTACAACTCAATCAAGAAAGAGAAAACTAATGCACGATAAAAAGAAAAATTGGAACAACGGGAGGAAGAAAACATGACATATCCGTAGCTGAAAATCTGATAGAAGTAGCAGCCGATAGTTAACTTCACACTGTAAGTGAAAATAATTTCAGAACCTAAAAGTATCAAATAACAAAAGTCAAAACAAAAATTGAAATTGAAAAAATAGAGAAAATAGCATCCAGAAAATGCAAAAGGAGGCGGTGAAAAAACAAAATAAGGAAACAAAAAATTGAAGCCACTACGATTCAAATTATTGGGGTCTCCAAAGCACAAACAGAATTGAACATCAACAACAAACCCAAATAAGAATAGAAGGAAATATGAAGATACTCAGATGTTGAATTAAAACTGATAACTGCATAGCTAAGGGACTACTTTGAATCTACCTTCAAACATAAGTGATCATTTTTATCATCATAGTTGTTTAAGGTTAACAATTACAACAACCATGGGAAAACCAACCATTATAGTTCTGAAAAAAATGGAAATGTTAGGAAAACATCAAAGAAATTTGGAGGAGCCTTACCCAGGATGAATGATGGAAACAAACAGATAAGATTTGAGGTTCTATGATTCCTAGGAATACATAGCGGTGAAGGGAGAAGTGGAAAGATGAAACCATACATTAATAACAACACACACATGATAATAACGTGTCAATTCAATATAGCTTTACAAGACACATAAGGTATAGTGAAGTACTAAAATGACAAAGAAATCCCCAGATTTAAATTAAAAGATACAAAACACACATGTTGAAGAAACCTTTTCTAATATAGTAAAAAGTAAAACTCAAGTTACCGTTCTCCAAAGAAAAGTGTTTCAACAAAACAATAGGTTTTCTAAACATGGTTCAACAATACAATATTAATATTATTTTCTAGCTATGCAATAATTATTTTACAACCTAGAAAAAACCTGAGAGCTAATGACAAACAATTTGAGACTTGGTGGATAACGGGTCCCCCCTCTACTCCTCTTCACTTAAATATCAGGTGTTTGCATGCGGCAGGAATTCAAACCCCTCAGGTGCACCTAAAATGTCACGTATTGCACACCTACCACTAGACCCAAGCTCTAGAGACAGCAGCAATAGAATAATTGCTATACATACAAATAGAAGGACCAAAATAAAGTAACTACATTTCTTTTGTTTGATTGATATAAGAAAGTAAGATAATAAATGTTCCACGAAGATCCCCAAAAAATTAGGGACAGCAACACCAATCCCCAATAAATCCAAGAGAAGAAAGAATATCCAACAAAATTAGCTACACAAACTAGTGATCCAAGAACACAACAAACAACTAGCAACTACCGCCATTAACAGAATAAGAACCAGAACAAATTTCATGTTATAGCACTTGAAGATAACAACTCTATTCATATCTCCAAATCATTATAGTCAATCACTTCTGACTGTTGGAAAGGTTCTTTATCCTAACTAAATTTACTTTGCTTAGGCTTCAGGAGATTCGGAAACTTAAAACGCAGTTGCTAATGGTCCAGCATCACTTGGTTCTTCTACAAGTTCTGAACCAGACACAAAAATTTCCAACTTTCTATGAACTGAACGATGTACGGCCTTCCACAAAATGGAAGCAGTAAGTATTTTGAGCAGGATGAGGCATCAATGGGGTTGTCAATCCTTTAAATTTTGTTGACAGACTTCACACTCGTCACAAACAACTTAAACAACAACATACCTAGTGAAGTCCACCCAGTGGGTTCTGGAGAAGGCAGTATGTACGCATACCTCATCTCTACCTCAGAAGTGATGTAGAGAGGTTGATTCTAATAGATCCCCTTCTCAAGACAGAGAGTCTAGGCAAAGACATAATGAAAGTACAATGGAGTATGGACAATAAATAGTAACAAAAATAACAGAAAGTAACTAACAGTTCTATAACAAAATAATACTACAAACAAACTACACAACATAGAAAATAGTCACAGAAATTGAAGAGCGAGAAACTACAAGAGTAGTCCTATGACTGCTATTTAGGGCAACAAGACAACTTAATGGCTAGAATACCAGTTGCAGCTGAATAGAACACTGGTGAGAGGTTATGTTGCATCCTAAGGCCATCACTTAAAATGTATATCTGATGTTGCCAGCTAATGCACGTCCATAGAAGATGCAACCATTTTGCGAGCCTAAATATAAGATGTGATTCCAGCACTCATCTCTGAAGACAATTTGACCAAAGAACTTCTATTGAACCTTAAATCATCCAGTGGATATATACTTCTATAATTAATGGGCTCATTTGGCTTTTCAGTAGCAGCTAAATATAAACTTTATTTATGTCAATTATTGCACTTGATGAATCAAGTCATGACAGGTCTTCCTTTTTAATTCTCAAAAATAAAAGTCATGACGGGTCTATTAGTTTCACATTCAACAATCTCCGACGCATATAGTAAAAACATCCCCAAGTTATTCTTGGTAATAAAGTCGTACCCAAATTTCTTTTGACTAATACTTTGGTGTTGAATAATGGCCTCTTCTTTTTATATTCCTTTTCTTCTCTTCTGCCTCTTTTGTTATCCCGACTCTCCAACTTCTACTAGCTTTGACTTTATACAGCATGCTACAGCTAGTCTGCTACTGCTACTTCTGATGGTGAACAACCATGTCATCACGTCAAAAGAAGCAGAACCGATATAACCATCCAAATGTGCATCAGTGAAGCGCAAATGACCGATAATATCATTCAAGCCTTGCCTAATTAAGGATGATTAACAATAATACCAGTGAACTTTAACAAACACAAATTATATTGGAAGTCTTTCATCAAATTCCATGAGGGAACTGAACTTGCCAATACACCAATAAATACCCACCCAAAACCATTTACAAGGGTCTTTCAGTTCCTTCAAATTCTCTTCTGTTTGTTCGTGTTTATATTATCCAAGATACATGAAACAAGGAGCTAACTTCAACAATCTCATTTTCAGCCTCGTCCTTCTAAATATCCACCCTAGTAGTCTCTCTAACTATTGTTGATGTCATAAATTCAATTTCAAACACCTTCCACACCATGCACCATAACATGTTTGTGTCGAACCATGAAGCAACAATTATTAACATTCTCTATTGCAGTCCTACATATGAAACACCAATTTTTATAAATTTTACTCCTCCATTCTTCTGTGTGGATGGCTTTCCATGCAGATCTTTTATTGATGAAGTAAAGATGACTTTCCGTGCAGTTCATCAAGTTAAGAAAGGTGAATTTCTTGAAGCTCTGGTAACCCAACTGAAGTGTAAGGGAAGTGTTCGTTCTCTTTCAAGTAATATGTTATAGAAAGACTTAGATTGAGAAAATATCATCTCCCGGACTTCTCATTTGGGCTGTTATTATCGATAATTGATATTTTTTTGCTTGTAGAATGATTAGATCACCTTGTTGAGCTCTTCCATCACCTAGCACTGCAAATTCCTTTCGAAATTCAGGTCCAAATAAATTTTAATCTCTATGTTGCTGGCATACAAGACTAAGTACTACTGTTCGTAGGCAAGACATTTGATGACAAAGAGACAAGTGTTACAAAAAAAAAGAATATAGTTGCACCATTTTCAGAAGTTCACAATTTCTGGCTTTATTTCCAAATAAAAGGCTATCTTTTTTTGGTATAGGAGGACCTCTCACTTTTTAATGTTCACTAGCTTAGTGCTTGGCTAATTTTTGCTATCAATAAAATTTGTTTATTGACACAAAAAAAATTATGGCTTTATTTACTTAAATCTGATAACTATGTCAAACCTGCCCACCCTTTCATTACACTCCTTTGTAGAGTTGCTCTATAAGGCTGCATGACTGATCTCAGTAATTCTCCGACATGATCCTCCTCTACAACACTAGTTACTCTTTAGAGAAACTTCAAATCCCTTTTCCTATCTTTTGTAACTTTACTAGCCTTTGAGCAAGAGCAACAACTCACCAATACGGCAGTACCGCCAATAAGGACATGCTATAGCTTAGAGTATTTCAAATAGTGCTCTTAATCAATACTTCTTCTTTTTAATACTAGCCACACTTCATCTGGAAGTATATGAGAAGAGTAGTGAACTCCTCATATAAATGAACGAATTTAATGCTTCGGGCAAACAACTCAAGAACAGTTGTTCATCACTTCCGGCAAACAGATTAGGAGCAATTGACAAAGCTAATTACCCACATTCCAGTAATCAAGCTTCAGATCTAGTCTATATGCAGAATCCCCAGAATACTATCCAACAAATTAAATTGTCCAAGTCCCAACCACAGTACAAATTCAACCAACAACAAGCATAAATCAATCTTAAACTAGTTTGGGTCCGCTATATCTATGTCCACTACACTCTATTTTAACCCATTTCCTAAAATTAAGATCCCTTAAATTAAATATCATTTGTCCTCCACTTGCTAACATGTCAAAGGTCAGTACCCTTTGTTCTGAAATCTTCTATATAAAAAAATCCCTCAAGAGTAGAGAGTGAAAGAGAGAATGTGAGAGAATTGTAGAAGAAAAAGATTATTTGAAGGAGTTCGTCTATGGCCTATAAGTCTTCGCAACCTCTCTACACATGAACTACTGGGTCTGTAAGAGAGGTATTAGCTGAATGATAGTCACTATAGGGGTATTTTGGTCATTTTTCTCACCTTACACAATCTATAAATCTATCATAGATTATTGGCATACATATGTCCTCCTATTTTATATGGTATAAAATTGAATTATTAGATACACACGTCATAATGTGACAATTTATGTGTGCCACCAAGTAAAATATATGCTTAATCAACTCTATACCAAATTTACGTACGTCTTTGCACACTCAAAATTAGAGAGTTTCTTTGATCTATTTAGTTTGTTGAAGGGTAGGAGTGGTCATGGTATGGTATATATCGAAATTTTTAGATATCGTGATTTTGATATTATAATATTTGGTATGGTATATGATATACATTTTAAATTTTTTTGGCATTCAATATGGTTTAAATACTGAATACCTTATTGAAGTATATTGTTATATAAACAACATTTATATTATTAAAGGCATAATAGATAAACATGACATTTAACTTGGCGTCAGCTGACAACTATGACCTTTAACTTTGGGTGTGCACAAGTAGGCACTTAAACTTGTATAAAATTGAACAAATTGACACATTCGTACTGCATGACACCCTACATGGCAATTTATGTCTTTTACGGCATTGTATGTGTATCATGTCATATAGCACAAATGTGTCTACTTGTTCAATTTTATACAAGTTTAAGTGTATACAAAGGTAGGCAGTGATCAAGCATCTAGATTGTTGAAGTCTCTCTATGGTCTTAAACAAGCTTCAAGAAAGTGGAACATTAAACTCACCACTACCTTGATTGATTCAGGCTTCATACAGATCACTAGAGACTATTCTTTGTTTACTAAGAGGAAGAAAATAAATTGGTGGTTGTATTGATTTATGTAGATGATTTACTGATGAGGGGAAGTGATTACAGTATGATTCATGAAACCAAGATAGTCTTGCAACATGCATTCAAGATTAAAGACCTAAGGGAACTAAGCTACTTCCTTGGGTTGGAGTTTGCTAGAAGTGAAGCTGGGATTCTCATACATCAGAGGAAGTACACTTTGGAGTCATTAGCAGACATGGGACTATCAGGTGCTAAACCAGTGTCAACACCTATGGAGCTGAATCTAAACTCACTACCACAGAGTTTGATTCTCACATAAATCCTGCACATATTGATACACTCCTTGAAGACCCTACAAGCTATCAAAGGTTGATTGGGAGGTTGTTGTATCTCACAACCACTAGGCCAGACATATCATTTGCAGTTCAATGTTTGAGTCAGTTCATGCATGCACCAAAGGCCTCACATATGGATGCAGCACTCAGATTGGTCAGGTATTTGAAGACAGCACCAGGTCTAGGAATTCTAATGTCATCTACTGGTGGAAATAATTTGCAGGTGTTTTGTGATGCTGATTGGGGTTCATGTATCAACAGCAGAAGGTCAATCACTAGATACTTAATCAAATATGGAGATTCTCCTGTCTCATGGAAGTCCAAGAAGCAGGTTACAGTCTCCAGAAGCTCAACTGAGGCTGAGTACAGAGCCATGGCCTCAACTGTTGCAGAAGTTGTTTGGGCTGTTGGTTTGTTTCAGGAGTTAGGTGTTGTCATCTCCCTACCAGTACCTGTTTATTCAGATAGTACTTCAGCATTACAAATTGCAGCCAATTCTATGTTTCATGAGAGAACAAAACACTTTGACATTGACTGTCATTTCATCAAAGAAAAGATCCAAGATGGATTGCTTATCACTGCCTATCTACCATCCTCAGATTAGCCTGCAGATGTTCTTACTCAGACAAGCAATTTTGAATGTCATATAACCGGAGTGTATGCTCCGAATAATAAAGTGGAGAGGAGGGTTGTATAGGAAGAACTGGCTGATGTAAGAGGCTTGATGGATGGTCCATGGGCTGTTTGTGGTGACTTTAATGTCTGTAGATTTTCTTCTGAAAAAAAGGAATGCAACAGGTTAAACTCAGCAATGACAGAGTTCTCATAATGCATTGAAGACGTGAACCTCATTGATCTGCAATTAAGTGGTGGACGGTATACCTGGTACAAGGGTGATAGCCATATCACAGCATCCAGGATAGACAGGATTATAGTTTCAATAGAATGGAATAATCTTTTCTCCAACATAAAGCAAACTATTATGCAAACAGTGACTTCTGATCATGTTCCTATAGCCTTGCTATGTGGGCATTGGGAACAATCTAAATCCTATTTTAAGTTCGAAAATTGGTGGCTGACACAAGAAGGATTTGTTGATAGAACCAAGGTTTGGTGGAATGATTTCGAATTCTATAGGAAGCCAGATTACATCTTAGCATGCAAACTCAAAGCCCTCAAAGGGAAATTGAAAGAATGGAGCAGAAATAACAAGGTAATCTGAAATTGCAAAAGAACAACCTTCTCAATCAGATGGTTGAGTTAGAATCACATCAGAGCAACAGAGTGTTAACTGAGGAGGAGATAGAAAAAAAAGCCACACTTTTCATAGAGTATGAGGGGTGTTTGAAGAATGAGGAAGTGGCCTGGAGATAGAGATCGAGGGCTTTGTGGCTCAAGGAAGGGGATAGGAATACAAAGTTCTTCCACCAAACAGCTAATGCCCACAAGAGATGCAACAATATTGATCAACTGGAAGTTCAGGGAGAGACTATAACAGAGCCAAATAGAATCAAAGAAGAAATTATTTCTTTCTACAAAAAATTGTATATAGAACCTGAAGATTGGAGACCCTCTGGAAATATCAGCAACCATCCTACCATTACAGAGGGTGAAAATGAAGCATTACAGGCAGATTTCAAGGAACAAGAAGTACTTGAGTGTTTAAAAAAGTGTGCTATAGACAAAGCCCCTAGTCCTGATGGATACACAATGAGGTTCTTTCTAAAATGTTGGGAGATCATTAAGCATGACATTATGGGGGCTTTTCACAATTTTCACTCAACTGGGATGTTTGAAAAGAGCTATAATGCAACCTATATAGCATTGATTCCTAAGAAGATCGGAGCGAAGGAACTCAAGAACTTCAGACCCATCAGCTTAATTGGAGCTTCTATAAGCTAATGTCCAAGGTTTTGATAGAGAAGGTTGAAGAGAGTTGTGGATAAGTTGGTACACAAAAAACAGACGGCTTTTATCAAAGGCAGACACATCATGGATGCAGTGCTCATTGCTAATGAAGCAATTGATTCTAGAGTGTCCCAGAAGAAACCTGGTATACTATGCAAACTTGATGTTGAGAAAGCATATGACCATGTGAATTGGGATTTCATTCTAAGTATGAGGAGACAAATGGGATTTGGTAGCAGATGGATCGGTTGGATCAAGTTTTGTATTTCAACTGTTAAGTTTTCAGTAATCATCAATGGGTCTCCCGAAGGCTTCTTCAATGCATGCAGAGGAGTCAGGCAAGGGGATCCTTTATCACCCTTCTTGTTCATCATAGCTATGGAGGGGCTTAACAATATGTTGAAGATAGCCAAGACAACTGGAAGAATACAAGGATCTGAAATCAGTAAGGTTTCGGGAATAGCATGGAGATCATACACCTACAGTATGCTGATGATACACTAATATTTTGTGGGACTGAGGAGGAGCAATTGCTGATTTTGAGACTTATACTAGTCTACTTTGAAGCCATATTTGGACTACATATAAACTGGAACAAAAGCCATTTGTATCCAATTAATGTGGTTCCGAATATGGAGCACCTCTCACAACCCTTGGGAGGAGTGATAGGTACTCTGCCATCAGTATACTTGGGCATGCCTTTGGAGGCAAAGTCTGGAGCCATAGACATTTGGAACCCAATAGTGGAGAAATGTGAAAAGAAACTAGCCAGATGGAGATCACAATACCTCTCCTTGGGAGGTAGATTAACACTGATAAACTTTGTTCTCTGTTCTGGATGCTCTACCAACATATATACTATCTATCTTCCATATTCCTCAGTCAGTAGTTCAGAGGTTGGACAAAATTAGAAGAAACTTCTTGTGGCAAGGAAATAAGGAAAGAAAAGGTTTTCACTTAGTCAAGTGGAAGAACATCATTATAAGTAAGATGCAAGGTGGATTAGGTATCAAGAATCTTAAAAACCATAGCAAAGCTCTTAAGATGAAATGGTTATGGAGGTATCATCAGGAGGACCAAGCACTATGGTATAGGGTGATCAACCACAAGTACGAGGAGCTAAATAAATGGGTAACCAAAGAGGTAAATACCCCCTATGGATTAGCCTTTGGAAATCCATCCGAATATTTTGGCCCAGTACCCAGTCAACTGTCAAGGTACAAAATGGCAGAAAACCAGTTTCTGGTTCGATAAATGGTTGGGTGGTATGAGCCTCAAAGATCGTTTCCCTGACATCTTTACACTGGCTCAACACCAACAGAAGACTGTCGGTGAAATGTGGACACAACAAGGCTGGGATCTGATTTTCAGAAGAAATTTGAATGACTGGGAAATTCCCAGAATACTTGAATTGTTTAAGGTTCTGGAGAGTTTCCAAGGTATACAAACAGGCGAGGATTTTTTATGGTGGCAGGGGCACAACAAAGGTAGTTACAAGGTGAAAGAAGGATACAAACAAATAATTATTGGTGGCATTCAAGACTTCAAATGGCCTTGGAAGCAAATCTAGAGGACCAAAGTGCCACACAAAGTGGCATGCTTTACATGGCTACTAGCTAAGGAGGCAGTCTTGACATTGGATAATGTGGCCAAGAGAGGAATCTCTCTATGTAATAGATGTTCCTTGTGTGGGAAGGCTAATGAGACAGTGAGACATCTATTCTTACATTGCAACTTCACTGGGCAACTGTAGCAGACTTTCCTTAATCTCAGAGACATATCTTGGTGTCTGCCTAGCAAAATTGATGAGACTCTATTCGGTCGGGAGATGGCTGGAGTTAGGGCTACAAACAGAGAAAGATGGTGGACGATCCCTGCTAGTATTTGGTGGACTATATGGAGGGAGAGAAACGAGAGATGTTTTGAGAATAGGAACAACAACTTGTAGGAAGTAAGCTTAAGTGTATTTTGTTGTTCTGCTTTTGGTGTACAAATGTCTACTCCAATGAAACTGAGTCAATCATAGATGTTTTAGGATCCATTTAGATTTGGTTCAGTTTTTGGATAGATTATACTTACTTTCTGCTTTTGTAAATATGGTTTTTCAGTACTACCTAAGTACTCTGTGAAATACAAATGTTACAGTTTCGAAAAAAAAGAATGGAAGAAAAAAAACTTATTACAAAGGATACCCTTCCATTACATCCTCTTCCTCTTAATCTAAACACATATCATTATTGATTGGGAGTCATCTAATGTAAGGTAAAACTCATTAGGAATAGGATTTCGGTATTAGGAAACAAAAGAAAGTAGTTGAAAACGCACATCATGTAAGCACTTCTAGATTGCTACATCTTATATTTTCACCTTGAATACAAGCTCTCAACAAGGCTCCTAACTTAAATATTTTTCTCAGTTGAGCAGGTATTCATTACCCAAATTTTCCATAAAGTCAGCAAGCATACAGAAAATGATAAAACAGAAAATACTAGCAGTCAGACAACTAAATAGAGACTACACATGGAAGAAAATAACTCAATCAGCTGAGATGTCATGCAAAAAAAGCAGAACAGAAGCAGTTGCATAACTATCTCACATCACAGGCTGCTGTCAGAACAACTAAAAGGTGTGAACAACTAAAAGGTGTGATCTATTATGACTAGATACTTATCAGACACAAATTAGGTGAAGCAGAGATGATAAAAAATAGTGCCATATAGTCTCTTCAAGATATCTTCTTCATTTCACATTTAGGCTATGTAATTTCTACGATTAAACTTCGATGATATTAAATGCTTCGAGATCTACCTATTGCACAAGAATTAACAGCACATACCAATATCATCCCAAAAAGAAGTGAGCTTATACTATACCCAATGCCCCAAACTCTGACCTGGGTGACAGTTGGATGCAAAATTCTATCAAATAAAATTTCCGTAAACTAGCACAACCAAACCCAACCCGCCCTTATGATTTCCCCCAAATTATGCTCAGAAGTAAATGAAAGTAAGCAAAAAAAAAACGAACTTGATTCCACTGGAATTTCAGTACTCAACTCCATTCCCCAAATCTAAAACCAAAAACCCATCTTGACCCAAATGCTCAAACAGCAAAATAAGCACACCCAGATACGTAAACGAAGACAAAAAGTAAGCAAATCAGCAGAGTAACTTCAATCAAAATCAATGGAAATTCAACAAGTAGAGACCTAGCTAGATACTTACGTGAATACAGAAAGCCTCTGTCTACGTTCAATAGGACTAGGTGGTACACCAGCTAAACTTCCTCCATTCTGGGGTTTCCTTTTTCAAGTTTTCCAGCTTAAGGAAGACAAACATTCGAATTGGAAAACTGAAAATCAAGTTCCCATTTCAAAGAATCAAGAGAACATAATCTAAAAATCAGTTCTTGATTCAGCTGATTCTCTGGGGGTAGACGGGAAGTTGTGAGAAAATGCCAAAGAATCAAGATTTGGTTTGAGTCCGTGAAACAGATCAAAAACAAATACAAAGTAGGAAAAAACACTCAAAAATTGATATGCATTTCACTCGGCTAAAGGTCAAGAAACAACCCTTCTTTTTTTCGGCGCTTCTAACCCGTATCCGATAGAGTTCGCTTCTAATACAGGAAATTTCCGTAGTTAATAGGGTTCAAATTTAAAATCTCTCAATTGAAGATGAATAAGTATTGAGTCAGAAAAAGAAAACACTTGAAGGAGTAATTTTTTTTTATTTTTAACCAATTCTTATATGGTTAAAAAATATAATTTAATTATTTTCGAAATAGTGAAATCATATAAAAAGATTATTTGTAGTAGTCACAAAAACAAAGATATTTGTTATCATGACCTTCCTATAATTAGGTGATATATTAGTAGTGGAAACTTTCATATACACCAAATAAAAAATTTATATTTTGTATTCTATAGCAAAGTTTACATAATTATGCTCCATAGCAAACATAGAAATTGTATAATTCGCTATACATATACAGTTGAAGCAAATTGTATAAAACGAAGTGTATAAAACAAGAAAGAGAAAAATACTTGGGCAAAGAATATGTATAAAAACGAAGTGTATAAAATGAATTGTATTATTATAAGTGTATAGAATGATTATATACAATTTAAATTGGTATAAAATGAGAAAGAGAGAAAGACAAAAGAGACTTGACAAGGAGTATACAATTGAATCGAATTGTATAAAACGAGAAAGAGAGAAATTAGATACAATTTGAAATTTGTATAAAACGAGAAAGAGAGAAAGGCAAAACAAACTGGGCAGGGGAGCATTTTTATTGTATAATTATAAGTGTATAGGACGAAAATATATGTGTTTGCATGTGTATATACAATTTTCTCATGCTTTATACAAACAGAAACGCAATTTATACATTTCGCTTCTGTTTATATAAGTGAGAAAGGCGAGGGTGGTGAGCCAGATTTGGGAGAGTGGCGAGCGAGATTTGGAAGAGGGGAGAGAGAGGAACAAAAATATATGTATTTATACAATTTTCTCTGCTTTATACAATTAGAAACAATTTTTATACACTTGTGTTTGTATAAAAAGTGAGGAAGCGAACGAGAGATTGGAGGAGAGTGGCGAGCGAGATATTTGGAAGAGAGACGCCTGACAATTTGTTGCAAACGTTTGCTATGAAGCACAATTAAATCAAACCCTAGCTACTCTATTTATTTTAGGTTATTGATTTGCTATTATGTACAATTTTTCAATTAGTATTACTATATCTAATTGATGACCATAGCAAATTATTGTAGGTTGGTTAGCATTAATTGTGGAACATTAATTTAATCTGTCGAATTTAATATTCACTAACAAAATGTTAAACTAAACAAGTTTAGTTAAAGACCAATGCCAAAACTGCAAAATATTAACTACAGATCTAGAATAGAGGTACAAACTTTTTTTTTAAATGGTTTTAAAAAAATAGTATCTCTAATTAGTTCTTACTATACCAAATATTTTAATCCTAAATCAATATTAGAGTGATTAGGAATATTTTATAATATGATGGAATGAAGACATGAGTGATGTTAGTGAAATGAGGATCGGACCACTTTCATAATTTTGTATGAAGGATCAATTCTCATACTAATTTTATATGTAATGTGTTTCGAATTATTATATATTATAACATATATTATTTTCATATAACTTATATAGTATTGATTAACGAGACATACAATAAAATTAATGATAAATTAAAAATATTGAGACAAATTCTTCGGTCAAAAATTTTTAAACTGAGCTGATTAAATTAAAGTAAATGGAGTGTAAGTTTAGTTTTACATTACAAGAAATGAGTGAGAATAATGCATGGGTCATTCAAAGAAGAAACTCTCCAAGAATGCTAGTTCTAGGTCAAAACTTGGTAAAAAGTTACCCATTATTTATTAATTTCTATTAATATTTATTACTATCTCTTCCGAAAAAGTTTTAATTATAATTTAAGTGATAAATAATTTTTTTTTAAAAAAAGAAAAAATTATGTTTAATGAGTTATAATTATGACTGAATCATTGATAAATTTGAGCACATAATTAATGTATTATTTTGCCTATATTGTTATTTTGTTATTATTGATTGTTATCAATTATGTTATAAGGTAATTTTTAACGGAATATATTTATTATAAAATGATAATATAAATATATGAGTTTTCCCATAATTTTTAAAATTTATGTGTATAAATCATATTTTTTAAATAGTCAAATATTCTTGAGAAAAATTGGGGCCAAACACATGGTTTAATTTCACCAAAAACTTTATTCAAATATTATTTGTCAAGAATATTTCATCGGAAAATTACGACCTCTTGAATCGTGAGATTTTATATTTAAAAAATACAAAATAATAAAATGCATCATTTGGGTTCAACCCTCAATATTCTCTTTAGTAGCTTGGTAGGATACATTTCTACAACTAGATAATTGATGCTTATTGGTTAAAAATTATGTTACTTTTCACTTATATTTTTTAAATTTATATTTTCATGAGAATGAATCAATCTCATAAGGATTTTTTTTAAGAATTTTTTTCAAAAAAATAAAATAAAAATTGACCTCCCAATTATGTTTTATCCTATGCTTTGATTTCATTACTAAGTAATTTTATTTCTTTTATTTTGATTATCCTCAATATTTGTATTGACACTTTTTATTCTTTAACATTTGTATCATACTCTCTCAGTCCACAATTATTTATCGGGGTAAAATCATGCACTTCGTTCAAGAAAAATTTAATACAAGATGTAATTTGAATAGTATAATCCTATTTCAAGAATATCAAAAGTCTATTTAACTTTTCAGCTGAACAAAATGGAGTAATTATTAAGGGCAAAATTGAAAAAAAAAAGCTAATTATTTCTTGGTTGTTAAAATTGACAATTAATCTTGAACATCTATTTTTAGTATATCTGCCAAACAATTATGGATGGAGGGAGTAGTTATTTTATTTTCGCGTTTCTTTTAAAGTATTTTCTTGAATCAATATTAAAAACTGTTTTTTTATCTCATAAATATAAAAATAAAGTATGTATTGTGCAATCCAATAATTCTATACTTAAATATGAATAATGAATATGTACTTATGATTATAAAGTATATTGGACCTTATAATGTATGTTGGGCCTTTCATATACACTCTTTACCAAATTGTATCTTATTTATTCTATCACTAAGTATTAGGTGAAGATAATTACATTCTAGTAGTCAAGTTTAACTGTAGTGTGTTAATTTGCTAGCGGAAACATAATCCATTTTAGAAAAATATTCACATATAATATGATAGTGCTATTAGGATCGTCTCTATTTGGCATCAAGATGAATCCTTGAAGATGTATTACAAATAATTCTAACAAAATATGCCCAAATAATTTATTCTTTTCTTAAATAGTTTGTATAATTGCATTCTGTGGTAAATTTTATATTTGCTATGACTATTAATCTGTATATCTTGGTATACATATACATAAAAAATTGTATTTGTATATTTTGATATACTTATACATGAAAACCTGTCATGTCTTGATCTGTATATTCAGTAATTTATATATTGATTTGTATACAAACTAAAATTTAGTAATTGTACGTAAACAAAATTACTATATATATACATAAAGAGACTACACATACATGTTTTGTTATGTATAATTATGACACATATACAAACAAATGTTATACTAATATGTATAATTAATTTTTATATAACAAAGGGAATTCGTATATACTAATATACCCTCCGAATGAATCCCGCCAGATAGCAAAAATATGAAATGTTTGTTGCGAATACCAATAAAACCTTAAGAAAGAAAAGCTAATAGTGTGACATAACTAACATAAAAACCTTAAGAAAGAGAAGGTAATAGTATGACAATAACTATTCCATTCTCATTATCCATTGAACTTTCCTTGAACAATTCTCTTTTTTGTCATATTATTATTGATGTAATCATAAAAAAAAATAAAATTCCATGCTTCCTCAAAATATTTTCAATTCTTCCCTCAACTTTCTTTGACAAAACTCAATTGACATATTTAGTTTGAAGAAAGTAAGAAACAAAAAATACACCAACAGATCATTGAGAACATGAATAAAATCAAACAGTCTCTAGGTTTTAAATTTTAATTAAGGTCTAATTTTGAATTAATCAAATCAATAATCCTAAAATTCTTTTTTGTATATATGTGGACTCCACACTGTTTTAATTGATGCATTATTTACATGTCCTTGTCCTTTAGAAAGTTTGGTTTGATCAGCCACCTAAATCATGGACTTGTTAGTTGTTAGGCAGGGTCCATTCTATTTTGGGTACTAGAATTGTTTTTTGTTTTCATAGAAATGATATCTAAAGTTTTTTATAAAAAAAATTATAAAGCGTTGGAAAAATTATGTCTCTCACGTGTTTGGTTAACAAAACACATAGGGCTACATTAATCATAATTTGTAGTCACATAAATGCATGATGATATTTAGAATCACAAATATCAAAAGTCTTATAGCTACATATAATATAATATATTTGAAACACTAATTTTAAAAATTGGATGAAATATTTTTAAATTATGAATACAAAGTCTATGAACACAAATCTCCTCCACCTTAAATGTTGTATTGTTGAATTCTATTACTGAAACTATTGTATTTCATATTCATTGCTTATTTTTGTCATATGGGCCTTTCTTAGCTTAAGTTATTTAAAAATCTTGTCAAAGTGTTTCATATGCATTATTTCTATGAGTTCAAGAATTTATTTTTTTTAGCTTCAAGTGCGTTATTTTAAGAAAGAGTTTAAGAAAATTATTTAGCTTCAAGTGCATGAAAGAAAGGAAAGTCATATTTCAAGAAAGCAAAGTCAATTTAAAAAAAAAGCATGTTTAGCTCCATAGAGAGCATACTTCAGCGATGAGAAAATATATTTAAATTTCCAGAAAAATATAGTTGGTTTGTTCAAATGAACTATATGGAGCAAGGATTCAAAGAAATATTTTCAATTTTTCGCCTAAAGTGAAACACTTTTTTATATTGTGGGTCATCTTTGAAATTACTGAGCAACAATGCATGTTTCGAAAATGACATTGAGCATCAAGTTACATAATGAATTCAAATCTAACTATGT